CTCCCCTCACTTCATATCAGCTGAATGCTTCACTCTCAGCTCTAGCCCTCCGTGGCTATGTCCTTGTCCATGGGTTCAGGAGTCCCAAGGTCTTAAAAATCTCTTTGACGCATAAAAGGAATTAAGTCTCTCAACTCAAAATGGTACCCTGGGTAGTATGTTTGTTCTTTACTTCTATTGATATAGAAAAGTGGTACAATTTCCCTATCAGGATGGGCAGAGCAACAAACTTGGCTTAATGTGAATATACTTATTTTCATACACCTTCCTTGAAGACAGCTTTTTTGAATAAGATGGTTTAAAAAAAAAGTATAACTCTGGGCTATGAATACAGTATATCCTAAACAGTCATTATTTGAATTAAATGTTAATTTCTTTCCTACCTTCCAGCTGAGAAATATACTTTTAATAACTTTTCTTAATTAGCTAGGAGGATCCAAATGCTTGAATTAAGAAATCTATTCTTGCTGAATCCATTATAAGACTTATCATAACCCAAATGTTTGTCTTTTTCTTCAGGGTGTTTGTGTGTGTTCTTGTTTTTTTTTTTCCTGAAGATACCATCATATTGATTCACCATTATGAGGAAACATCATGATTCATACAAAGTGGCCATTATGCATAAGCATGAAAGAGAAACAGATATCCTTGCTGCTTAGGAGAAATATTATGCTAAGCATGAGTTTACTTCTGTCAATACTCAATCTATTTAATTGTTTTCTTTGTGGCAGAAGTGGACAGCTGAGGTCAATTTTAGAATCAAATCACTAAGAATAGATATACAGAGACCAGCGCTCACAGGTGGTTGCCAAGGATAGGCGAGGCGGAGAGAGGGGGGAAGAATTCTCAAGATAGTAGATATTTGTTTATTTTGGTGATGGATGAAGTATACACAACCTGACCTAAGTAAATGATGTCACTAAGAAGTATACAAGAGAAAAGGGCATTTTTGGTAAAGGATATGACAAATACAATTTTGTGGCAACACGAACCAACAAATATGATTGCTGTCGTTGTTGTTAAATGCCATCCAGTTGGTTCTGACCTGTATCAGCCCTGTATAGGGTTAAGTAGCAGCTGGTGAACTTGAACCACTGACTGTGTGGTTCAAATAAACTGCAGTTCAGCACACTAACCTGCAGCGCCATACAGTGACTCCATTATGTAAATACAAGCATGTGTGCATGGGTAGCTGTATCTACAGGTATATGTTCATAGAGGTATGTGTGCATTCATGTGTATCCATAAATTAAACCTCATATTTAGATATAATAAAAAGCCTCACCAGAGTGGCTTTCTGGGTTACAAGGTTTAAGCTCATAGTTTCTGAAACAACTCAAGTTACTTGGCATATTATGTGATGAGTAGAGTCCTGGTGTGGTGCTGTGGGCTAATGCATTAGACTGCAAAGTCGTTTGAACTGCAAGGTCGGTGGTTCAAGCTCACTAGCTGCTCCTTGAAAACCCTACACAGGATCGCTGTGGGTCAGAATCGACTCAACGGCACTTAACAACAATGTGGTGAGTAGTGCCTGGGGTCTTAAAAGCCTGTGAGTGGCCATCTAATATACAATTATTGATCTCTATGCATCCAAAAAATATATAAAGATACCTGAAGAAAAGTAGTCTACAGGACCAACCGTAAACACCATCAGCTTCGTCTACCCTGAGACCTAACTAGATGGAACCCATCTACCTACCACTTTCAGCACTTCTGATCAAAGCCACAATAGATGGATCCTGATTGGACATGAGGAAAACATGGAACAGAACTCAATTCTTTAAAAAGTTGAGGCTTACAGCACTGGTTGAGACTAGAAGACTCCAAAACAACTTCCCTGGGATACTCTTTAAACCGTACCGCAAAATTATTTCCTGAGCTAACATTTTAGCTAAATAATAGATTGACTTATAAAACAAAGATTATTGCCCGTGAGTAATAAACAAGCTCCTTTTTAAAAAATCATCTATATGAGACCAAATGTTCAAAAAGTAATCTACACAGATGAGAAGGGTAGCAGGCAAACTACTGAAAATGGTATAACTAGAAGAAATGAAAATGATAACACATTATATAATACCACTGAGCCATTTGTGCAGAAATTGTTAAATGGGAACTTAATTTGTTGTGCAAACTTTCACCTTAAACACAATCATCTCCTACATTCTATAAACGAAATTCTATACTAATTGTAATTTACAATTGTATTTATCCTTACTATCCCCTCTCCTTCATTAGATGAGGTACAATTTGGATGTCATAGAACCTTTTAAAACCACAGAAATCCACCCAAAACTTTTACATTTATAGTTATTATTAAGTGCTATTGAGTCAGTTTCGACTCATAGCAACTATGTCTAGGGCTTCCAAGGAGCAGCTAGTGAATTTGAACCACCGACCAGGTGATTAGCCATCCAGTATTTATCCTACAGTGCCATACCAGGAAAAATCTATCTAACACCTTTTAGTTATACAGTGCTTCTACAAAAATAACTGATTTAATCCTGAAAATCCTGTTCACTAATTCCAAACTAGTGTGAAATAGTATGAAACATACAATATAATGATGACCCAAAGTATCACGTAACATTTAATAATTGCAAATATATTTATTACAATTTACAGATTAGGTAAATTTTATACACAAATATAATTTCAATGATAAAATCCCAACAAACTGGTTACATTTAAATCATTAGATCATTTGAAGCCAATGTAGACATCTTCTAGTCCCAATTTCACCTTTCTTAAATTATAAAAAAATAAATCTCACAGTTTTGATTTCAAGTTAGATAAAGGGTGCTATTATCACATTCCAACACTCAGAATTTTACCTGTCTGTACAGTCTTTCACATGCTACATTGACACTTGAAGCACCATTATGAGACTTGCAATGTGTAAAATATTCCATCAAAACCTCCAAGGATTTTCTAAGATTGTGGGGGGGTTAACTGTTCTAAGATTGGTATGAAACAATTCTTGCTTTTTCCTTCAGTCCAACTTCAAAGTGGTCCTTTCTGTCTTTCTCATCGCTATCTATCCAGTTGTTTTAGAGGAACGGGGAGTCTATGGGAGAATTCCTAACCAAGTATTTACTAATTTGGTAGTAAGGATGGAATGCTAAGGGAACAATTTTCCAAAACCCACTGAATGTACAGATGCCCTGCTATTTCAAATACACAGATACTAGATTTCAGAAACACAACCTAAGTCTTTGAAATAAAATAATATGCTTCAGTCGAGTTTCAGAAAACTGCCAAACATGTTTTAAAAAAGCTTTTTTCAAGGCAAATGATGCCTGCTTTCCAACGGATGCAGTTGGTGCTTGAGAGTAGTTAGTGTTTTTATGGTATTACAGCAGGCTCTGTGAATGCATCCCTGTCATTGCCAAATGAGAATAAGGGCTCTGCAAAACTCTGCCCCTCTGTGGGGGTGTCGTCCTCTCAGTGTGTATATGTGTGGATATGTGTGTTAACACTGGAGGCAGTTCTTAGAGCAAACCAGACAGAAATAAAAAGATGACCAGGTAGATTTTAAACTGAGGTAGTATCTCTGTAAGTGTTTCTAATGAAACATTCATTCCCACACTGAAACAAGCTCAACGCTAAGAGGATATCTATGCTACTTGTGTCTTCCATTATCTGTGACAGGAGGTACATGGGCTAAAAACAGATTAGTAATGAGTTAGTTAACAGTCCCTCTTTCTTACAGATGCGCCCCATGTGGAACTAACTAACCAACCAGGCACAACCAGTCACTGAAAAGACTTTGACTCAAAAGTATGTTTTGGGCTAAAGACATTCAGACTGTCTAGTTGTTAAATCTATAGTTCTATCATTTTCTGAGAGAAGTCACTCCTTACTGTTGTTGCTCCCCCATTAAAATAGTGGAAGACAGTAAACTCGGACAGTGACTAAATCTGTCTTTTACATTTTAAGCTAGAAAATTCAGAACTGCCCATTCCCAAGTTTACAGTGTCACCCTGACAGGTTTTAAAAGTGACAGTGCTGAGGCATGAGATTCATTAACACTGGCATTTTTTGTTGAGAGGATGTACAGCAAAATCAAATTGCTCTGAGATAGCTCCTATCTTCTTCCTAGGAAAACTCTACGCCTTGAAGTTTAAAAAATAAATGCCTATGGGTGCAATTATTCCTTCTGACATCTCTTACAATTTCTACCTGTCAAAACTTACAAAGGACAACATTCAACTAGGCAGTACAATGACATACACAGAAGTCTCTCCACTGGGCAGTTTGCCTAGAAATAAATATATCGAATGTGAACATTTGGCAGAAAGATTCAGCATTCCCAAAGAAGGAAAGAGTACTGCACCTGTAGGTTTGTGACAGTCCTTGAAAATAACTTAGGTAGAACAGAAATGAAAACTAAAAACCCATCATACATTTCCAACCAGTCATTAAAATACATATATGACACAAGTTATTATACTTTAAATTGGTGGCTTGCTTATATAAGATTATATTTTTAGCCTTCAGGGAGAAGGAACAAATCACTGAAATAAAAAATATAGAGGAAACACAAAAGTCTATTAATTTCATAATGCTGCAATGAAAAAGAAAAAGCCCAAAGTGTTTAGACAGATATTCAAAATTAAATTAGAATTGAAACAAAGCTTTGCATCTATAAATATTGTTTGCTAAGAAAATAAGTTTTGAAAGTGCAAAAATCACAATGTAAAAGGTCCCCTTTACAGTTCAACAAGCAAAGTGTATTTAAAAATACATCAATTAAATTATCAAAGAAAAGTCTTCAAAAAGGGAAGGACTTAAAATAATCACACAATCCCATTTTCTAATCCTGGATATTTCTGAGTGGGACATGTTGTAAAAGAATATTAAAGTAGGCCACTGGGTCCAAGTTGCATTTCCTTTAAAAAGAATGCCAAAGGACAGCTGCCAATTTTTGTTTGTAAAAGAAACCTCTCAAGTCAGAGGTAGGGTATGTTGTGGCTAGAGGCTATCCCATCACCTTAGCACTAACAATGTGTGAAAAGATTAAGTCCTTTGAAGCACGTTTCTTGGAGTCTATTAAACATTCTTTCTCTGTGCTCAAATGTCAAGCAATATCCAATAGCATCTTCAGTTTCTTGAATTCTTTTCTGGAATCTGCACCCATCTCGTGCAAATTCTTCCCAGGGTCCTTTGCGATCCTCGTCACCACTTATATAATACTCAGTAACTTCTTCAAGAAAGGTTACCTAAAAAGACAAAGACAAGTTTAATAACTCTCTATTGTTGTTGTGAAGGTCAGTAATCTTTTATGCTTTCAGAATGTCACATATTTTACAGGAACACCTGGTCCCAAACATAACAGAGAACGTCTTTCATTTACACATACATATTGATTGACGGATTTATATGTATGTTGTATAAACATAAGCATATCCATTCCCCCTTGATTCCTAATTTTAGGAAAATAAATTCTAATGAAGAACTGAAATTTTCCTGTTATTAATTCCTGCTTTTTTTTTTTTCCATCCTTAAGGAAATATAGTTATAATATTCTTCCCTCAAAAAAGACCAGTTTCTAAAGAAAACCTTTCAGAAAGTCACACTAGAAGTTAATGCTTTTATTAAAGCACAAAAATTTGAACACTGTTTTCATGTCTTAAAAATTTTTTTTTCACTATTTAGTGGATTCCAATTTAGGCTCATGAATACATTATTTCTATTTTTGCATTATTAATTCTGTAATCATGTGAGAACATTACTTGGTAAACAAAGACCAGAAAAATTAATTTATATATTTCAAGACTGTGCTACTACAACAGACATCATTAACATTCAACCTCTCTTTATAGTTCCACTCAAAATGCTATCACTATCCAAGGGGCTTCAAAAAGTTCGTGGAAAAATTCCATCTTTAAATCACAATTTTTCCACCAACTTTTTGCAGGCCCCCTTGTATATACATGAAACTAAATATTTGAACATACAGAATGACATGTAATGAGCTGACAATCCTTTCCAATCCCTAATTAATTTCTAATTCAGAAATTTCTAAGATATCAAACTGCCAAAGTAAATGCCTGCTTTAAAGTCTGTTCAATCGTTACATCAGATAATCCCACTGTGGCCTACTGCTTTCATTCCCTTTACATCAGGCCTAGGAATGCCCCCGAGAACAATTAGGAGTATGTAACACCTTACTAAGTATTGCAGTCTAGTCATTACTCACATGCTGCACCACTAAAGTAATAATAGCAACAAACATTTATATAGTGTTTACATATGCCAAAGCGCTTTATAATTTTTAGCTCATGTCGACCTTAGGCAGTATGCACTATTATCAGCCTCCATAGTACAGATAAGGGAAAAAAGAGGCACAGAGAGGCTAACTGATTTGTCTAAGTCACACAGCTTCTAAGTGGTGTCATCAGGATTCAAACCCATTCTAGCTGCACAGTGTGCACTATGTTACACCAGGGTACAAAGCATTTTAAACAAATTGTAAAAACTTCACCCCACGAATTAGGCATCACCTCATTTTTCTCTTGCACCTAAAAATGGCCAGTAGTCAAAGGCAATCACATAACTTTACCACAGTTTATACGTCATCTTTTTGCAAGTTGTGCTTCTAACTCTTAGTCTTAAGTCTACTTACTTGCTCATTGTACTCCGAATGAAAAATGAAACCGTCCTCAGGTTCTGGAACAAAAAGTGCTACCATATAAAGGCAAAACAATGAATGAGGAGTTATTACTTCCTCATCTCATTTAAACCCTGCAATTACTCATACAGTAGATACTAGTACTGTTTCCATCAAGCAAATGAGTTCCTCACAGCCAGGAGAGGTTATGTGGTTTCCCAGGTCTGCTTGTCTCCATCTCTGGGCTAAACCACTCAGGGGCCAAGCACACCCGGCCCCGGATGCCACTGGCCCACTTGGTTCCTTACCTATCTGTTCTAAAAAGGGCAGAGAAAAACTCTTTTAACATTCCACTGACTCAAGTGAGACCTAAAATTTCATTTTTAACATGACTTGTTCTGCTTCTACAAGAAGATCAACAGATCACCACCATTTAGAAACATTTTGTACTCCTGGAAGAGTTGCAAAGAAGCTGGCCAACTGGAACTAACAGATCATGACCACGTGAGACTCCCTGATGCTGCTGCATCTGAGGTCAGTTAACCTACTCATTCCTTTCTCCCTCAAAATCTACAAAACAAAAAAAACCCTGTGTGTCCCAGGGAATTTTTTTTCCCAATTAATAACTTCAGTTGAAGTTACAGGAGACAAAGAAAAAGAAAGAGAAGGCAATTCAAAAGACTACCAAAATAAAATTAATTTGACAATATGCTGAAAGATTCAGTAAAATGCTTCATGAACTTTTAAGACAAGTCTGGGAATAGGAAGCAAGTACTCAAGAGAAACCAAAAAAGGGACCATTGTTGTTTACATAAGACTCCTGGTGTGGTGCTGTAGGAGACACACTGGACTGCGAACCATAAGGTCGGCAGTTCAAACCCACCAGCTGCTCCTTGGAAACCTACTACAGTCAGAACTGACTCAATGGCACTTAACAACAACAATCTTGTTTACATATGATTCCCAACTTATGGTTGGCCAGTACTAGTATACATTCTTTGTTGCTGTCAATCAAAGCCCTGTACATGTCCAAAAAGTATGATACCGAAACTAGTATTTTCTTTCCTGGCAAACAACCAGATCCATTTGATCTGGTGCCATTATCCCTTTACGTTCTAATGTACAAGAATGATGTAGATAAAATATTAACCATCATCATGTAAGTAAAATATTAACTGTCTGCCAATGACATACCATAGATAACCCTATTTTGACACTCTATGACTGTAACAGGACCTTCCGAAATCGTTAGAAAAAGTAGATTGTGCATATTTCTGTTCCTTGGGAAACCATAAGTTGAGCCAGCAGGGAAACTGCCAACTCATATAGAGGCTGTCCTCAAAAATATGCACAACATTCCTCCCACAAAGCCATCAAAATGGTCAGACACAAATGACCAGGCCTGGTAAGAGAAACAAACTACACGTACCTTTTTTCTTTTGATATGCCTATGTCTTTCCCCATAAAGCAGCTGGCAGTGTACCAAGTCTGGAGGGTCATTTTCTTGACTCCCTAACGGCTGCACCTTACAAGAAAGTAAAGTGTGACACTCAGACATGACCACCAAGGGTTCATTTGAGTCCCCATGGCCTTTCCGATTTTTCCCTGATGTTTGACAGGGAGCCTTAAAATTCAAAAGGTTGTAGGGGTCATCGGAGTGGCAGAAAGAGTTCCATAGTCTGAGACTCTCGGCCTCATCTGCGCTCGATTCCCAGTCATCTTCCTCTGCACAGTTAGGGTCAGGAGACTCGGGAAGCCTTCTTGCAGTCTGGGGAGAATTCTCTTCATCAGATTTGTCGGACAGATCCTTCTGGCAATCCCAGGGGTCTCCAGGCCCAGTGCTGGCAGCCGTCTGAATCGTCGCGGTAAAGTTCTGGGGATCATAAGGGTCGACACTGTAGAACGAATTCCAAAGGTGAAGCCCTTCGGCGTCTGAGTCAAGGTCTGACTCCGAAAGTGAGCTCTCGCTGTCAAACCCATCATCCTCCGCTTCCTCATCCCAATCCCCACCTTCCGAACCAGAACTTGACTCCTGGTCGCTGGACGCCCCTCCCAAAATGTAATCGATCAGTTTGTTACTACAGGCGGGTCGGGCAGACACCGGAAGGTCATCTTCGATGTCCGAGTCTTCAATTCCACTCAGTTGGTCCCCTGCAGGCTCTGTCTCCCCAGAGACCTCACAAGATAGGCAGCTTTCCAAATCGTCTTGTTTCTCCGGACCTAGGGGAAGTTCTTTAGCTAACGAGTCGTTTCCCTCCGTGACTTCCTGGGCGCTTTTTGGACTGGCTTCCGCAGGAGAAACCAACGGGGTCAGGTCCTTCCGGAGAAGGCTGTGCTCCTCCTCCAGACTGTGGTAACCATGGTCTTGGTCAGGGCTGGGTAACGCGGGCCCTTGGCTAGCCTGCTGCAGGAATTCCAGCCGTTTCATGCGCAGATGATGGATTTCGGGCAGTCCTTCTCTAGAAAGCGGGGGGCATCCCTGCCACGAGGCTGGAGTGAACTCAGCCTTCAGTGGCTGGGGGGGACACTGGTCATCAGCCAGACAGCTGCTCTCTGGAGTCAAAGTCTGACAATCCAAGAGCTCATCACTCCCCGCGCTGTCCTGATAATTGAGCTCCAGCCGGGGAAGGCAGTGCAGGTATGAGGGGGGCAGCAAATAGGAGACTACGTCCAAGTCGCTCAAACGCCGAATGTTGAGCGACCCAGAGTACAAAGAGCCCAGTTCAGGGTCCGAGAAGAGCCGGCCTCGAAGACTGCTGGGCAGCAGCTCCACCCTCCACAGCTGCTGCTCAAAAAGGAAAGTGTGCGCGGCCGGGTCCAACGCACCGCCCTTGGCTTTCAGTGCCAATTCCAGGTCTGGAGACGAGCACTGCCAGATGCCCTCCTCTAGCCAATCTAGGGGGCTGGCAGCCGAGTCGTCCGAAGGATCGAGCCGCAGCGAACTCCCAGATTTCTGGGCGGAAGGGTCAGCAGGTTTCTCCCGTCTCCCCAGGACTCTCAGGGCGCTGTAGCCTCCAGTCAACTCCAGCCATCTGGTCGGAATGAGGCCACCGAAAAGTTGGCTCCAAATCAGCAGCTTTTGCAACAAGCTAGGGAGCGGCGCAAAAACCTGGGAAAGTAGCTTCATCCAGAAGCTGGCCCGACCCTCGGTCTGGGGAGAGGAAGCCAGTTTAGGGTCCCCGGAGTTTACTGGGGAGACAGGTGTAGGGAGCTTGGAAGAAGAGCCTGGTCGTGTGCGCCAAGGGAAGAAGAAAGGCAGCCGGAACCGGGATCCGTGTGCTTGCGGCTCCATCTCCTCTCTCTTGGCAATCTCTCAGGTATGTGGAGCCCTGCTGCTGCAAGTCGGGGGAGATTCGGGAGAGACCTAAACAGTCTTAGCCAAGCCTAGCGGAGCAGTAGGTGCTCCAGGCCGATTCCCGGGCCAGCAGAAGAGCCACAGAGGGAAGGGGTTTCGGCAGCAAGCGACAGACCACAGCCCGGAATGGCAGGAGCAGGACGCAGCAGCTGCGGCAAAATCCATTCTGGCGAGGAAGGAGGTATCTTAGTCGGTTCGAGTCTTCACCACCATAGACATAAGTCGTTTCCAGAAGAGAATGGCCGTTAAAAAGCCCCTTCGACTGTTAAAAGAAACACCGGAAGGTATAAGAAAAGCTCACAGGCGGGGATAGAAGCAAAGACCAAAATGGCCGCAGAGCGAGGGCCGAGCAGGACAACTCTAGACAACCGGATGAGACGAAGGGCTGCTGGGGCGTCTACGCCGCCAGTTCCGTGCCGCCAAACGTCACTCGCAGAGCACCAGGGGGGGCGGGTCTCAACACACACTTCCGTGTGGCCGCTGATTGGTGTATCCCATTCCCCTGTCGGCTTCCTTACTCTCGGTAGATTGAGTGCATGCGGGAGGTTGCATCAGCCAGGCCCCTCGGTATGCGCGTGCGTAGTTGTTGCCCTGTGGTCTCCTAGGAGATCTTCGGACTGTCCTCTGCGCTAAAGAGGAGTTCTGGGGAAGGTGGTGTTTCAAGATTACGGGAGAATTCCCTCGAGTCCTAATATTCACCCAATTGTATAAATTTATCTTAGGTATCGGGGTATTTTTGAGATATGAATAGATCATCAGTCTGAGATCTTCGTATAGGCTAAGTACTGGACAAAGCTGTGTAGTTACACTCCAAGTGTTCAAACACTTTAATTCTTAATTGGCAAACGAATCATTCTTATGTAATCTCGCTCTTTCGGTTTTAGGGCTCCTGGAGTCCTGTTGTGGAGCTGCGGGTTAATTCACTGGACTGCAAAGTCAGTTTGAACCACAAGGTCAGTGGTTCAAGCTTACTAGTCGCTCAATGGAAACCCTATACAGGGTCGCTGTGAGTCAGAACCGACTCTATGGCACTTAACAAGAAGAAGTAACTAATAAATCCTGGTGTGGTGCGTGGATTAATGCCCTGGACTGCAATGTCTGTTTGAACCTCAAGGTTTGTCAGTTCAAACTCACCAGTCCCTATGAGTCAGAGCCGACTTGTAGGCACTTAACAAGCACCTCTTTAACAATGCCTGGGATCTAGGTTTGAGGTCCTGTTCTCAGGAACACTTCCCTTGTGTGGTGTCTCACTATTAGACTATCTCCTTTCACTCTGTGGCAAACTGAAGTCACAGAGGAGGGAAGAAACTTAGTCCCCAGAACTCTTAATTTTTACTTCCCAGCAGCCAACTCATTCAATTCACTTATTTTCTACAATCCCAAAACTACAGGATACAACACCCAAAGAAAAAGAAAAAATAAAATTGGCTGGTAATTTTATTTGCTACATTTGATTCTCTCTTGTGAATTTGGTCGTAATTCGTTTCCTTTCTAACGTTCCTAAAACTTTTAAATCCATACCCCTGAAGTTAAGTACCTATTACGGAGGGAGGGTAGACATTAGTTAAGTATCTATTACAGAGGCAGGGACAGCACAAATACCTGGCAGCTAGGAAATGGCCAGCTACTACTACTTCATTAGGCCAGCTCAAGGAAACTTTTTATAGGAAACTTTAAAACAAAAAACACCAAACCCAGTTCTGTGAAGTTGCTTCTGACTCCATGTGTTACCGAGTAGAACAGCCCTAGAAGCAGATCAGCAGGCCATTTTTTCTGAAGTGTGCTGGATGAGTTCAGCTGTGAATCTGTTGGTTAGTTATTGTTGTAAAGTGACGAAGAGTCAATTCTGACTCATAGCAACCCTGTGCGTGGTTTCTGAGGAGTGACTGGTGAGTTTGAAAGTTGATTGCAAACTATTCACACTACACAGCGCCATTTAGGAAACCAATGTCCTCCATTACTGTTAAGTGCTGTCGAGTGGATTCCGACTCAGAACAACTCTAAGGGTTTCCAAAGAGCGACTGGTTGGTTTGAACTGCCAACCTTATGGTTAGTAGTCCAATGCTTAGCCTACAGCAGGACTCCCTAGATAGAGTAGGGACACAATAAGCATTAGATAACATTATGATAGCGCTTTCCTACTTTAGGCCCTTCGGTTACTTACCAAGTCCTGGTGTGGTGCTGTGGATTAATGCACCAGACTGCAAAGCCATTTGAATTACAAGGTCGGTGGTTCAAGCACGCCAGCTGCTCCTCAGAAACCCTGTACAGGGTAGCTCTGGGTCGAAACCGACTCGACGGCGCTTAACAACAGCAACAGAATGAAGGCTCTGTTCTCCCACCACACTTTGTGGCCTCCTCTCCAGTCACTTCCTTTCGTGCATGCTATGCTTCAGGAACATTGGACTGATCATGTTCCTCATCTCATGCCTTTGTGCATGCTGTTCCTTCACCTTGAAAACCCTCACCTCTCCCTGTCATGTACCTACTCATGTTTTAGGGTCCAACTCAAATATGTCAACTCCTCCTTGAAGCTTTTGCTGACCTTCCTAGTCAGAATTCATTGATCCCTCCCGGTCTTATATCATTATATATACTCTTTTAGAGAACTTACCACCCTGCACTACGTATTTCTGTGAATGTTCTTGCCTGCTTGTCTCTGAGTTCTTCCATGACTACATCCCAGTACCTACCACGGTGGTCTTCAATATGTAGTCAGGGGCCCCCAAAAGAGAATCCATTTTGAAATATTTGCAGGGTTCTCAAGGTCAAAAATACTTTCATGATAATAATAAGCTGTTGTTTTTCTTTTTAACTCTCATTGTCTCATTAGTAATTAATAGAGCCTTCTAGAAAATACAACAAACTGAACACAAAACCAGATATGAGAGTCCAGCTATTTTCCACTAAGTCAAGCATTAAAAAACTTGCTAAAAATGTAAAACATTTCACTCCTTTCTAAACTATTTTTGTTTTGAAAAATAATTTTTCACTAATTTTTGTCAATACAAAATTAGTTTATTTTTAAATAAATTGCTATTTTTCATTCCTCAATTTTTAGTTTTAAAACATTAAATATAGCCATTACCCATATAAAAAATTTTTTTTAAATGTAAAGGGGTGCTGGGGCCAAAAACTTGAAGAACTATTGACTTAGCATGTTGATTGCCATATAATAGGTGCCCAATAAGCGTTTGTTACATGGAAAAAAGTAATAACACTTTACAATAATCATTATTGTTGTTGTTAAGTGCCATCAAGTCAGTTCTGACTCATAGCAACACTGTATAGGATTTTCAAGGAGCAGCTGGTAGGTTTGAACTGCTGACCTCATGATTTAAAGTCCAGTGCTGATCCTACAGCACCACACCAGGAGTCCTTTATAAATAATAGCATCTTCCTTAACAACCATGCCTCTTGCATTCTACTCTCAACTCCGTCACTGCTCCTAAAAAAAAAATTCTTAAAATTTTCCTGAAGGGGCCTCCCTTTCCTTACCTAGTTAGTCATTATAGTTGTTGTTGTTTCGACTCATACTGACCTTGCATAGTTTTTCCGAGAGCATTTGGTGGGTTTGAACTAAGTCTTGGGGATACCTACAGCACCACACCTAGTCATTAGGGAATTAAATTTTACTCTTCCTTACCTTTGAAAGTTGTTCTAGAAGAGGAAGACAGTACAACCATGAAGTATTTGAAAGCAATAACAAATATGTGGCTCTGACAGGAACATAAAGTGCGAGTTTGCCTCTTCAAGCCTGCTATCAGGTAGCGAGCAAAGGAAGGCGGCTCTGTGAACAGAGATACCAGGTGTTGCTGTGGCTGTGTGCTGGTGAACACCAGATGTTCATGAACTGGCAAGCCAATTGGCACTTTGGTAGATGAGAATTAAAACCTCAGTTTTGTTTCTTTTAAAAGATTTTGTTAGTCTGTAAGTTTTTACCCAAATTGCAGTAAAAAGCTAGAAAGGAAAAATTTAAAAATTTTGTTGGGCCTGAAGTAAATTTTACATAGCCTTTTACTGTATTTTTCAGAGTCAGCTTCACCAATACCTGTAAAGCAAAACAATCAAGCAAAAACAAAACCATTGCCATCTATTGGATTCCAACTCATAGCAACCCTACAGGACAGAGGAGAACTGCCCTGTAGGATTTCTAATGCCGTGGTCTTTATGGAAGCTGACTGTCACATCTTTCTCCCATGGAGCACCTGATAGGTTCCAACTACTCACCTTTTGGTTAGCAGCTGAGCACTTAACCACTTAACCACTGTACCTCCAATACTTGTACCACCTCTAAAATTTTATTTCCAAATATTCCACATACTCACTACCACCTACCTATCTTTCCAACTCACTGCCCTGGTATCCCCAGTCAGCTATTTATCAACACCCCCAAAGTTTTCCAAACCATTACCCTTATTACTGCTTTATATCTATCAACTTCTTCATGTCCCTCATTGTTGCCATTGTTGCTAGTTGCTGTTGAATTGATTCCATCTCAAGATGTTGCATGGTCCTGGTCATTTTCATGATTGTTGGGATATTTGAATTCATAATTGGGGCTGTTGTGTCATCCATCTGGTTGAGGGTTTCCTTCATTTTTGCTGACCTTCTACTTTATCAAAAGCCCTGGTGTGGCACTGTCGGTTAATGCACTAGACTGCACGGTCAGTTTGAGCTGCAAGGTCAGCGGTTCAAGTTCACCAGCTGCTCCTTGGAAACCCTGTACAGGGTCGCTAAGAGTCAGAACCAACTCAGCAGAACTTAACAACTTTATCAAACATGATGTTCTTTTCTAGTCACTGGTCTTTCCTGATGACATATCCCACCTTGTCTACTATGAATTCCATGATCCAGTATTCAACTCGCCCCTTGCAAAGACCCTTATTTCTCTTGCCCTTATTGTTCTCTGGCAAAATTCCAATCATAGTTAAACC